TCCGCTGCTAAATCTCTGTTACTATCAATTTTCAGTGGCTAGATTTCTGTTTTGGACACTGTTTGGGTTCATCCCCAGGGTTTTAACCGCTGTGTTGGTCGTTTTCAAGATTATCGTAAAGAATAATTTTTAATGATAAATGATACCGTCGAAAACTCTTTCATCTCTGTTTCAATTCAGATTCAACGAGCATCCGTTGTAATTTGGACGATGTGATAGCCATTTTTATATTTTATCGACTTGGCGGAAGTGCGTGTGATTACATAAAACCATAAAACAAAATACTCTGTAAGTTGCGATGGATCTCCAGCCACAGTAGTTCGTAACACAACATAATTTGCCATCGGTCCGGTCGAATACGACCCTCGTTTGCCAGGTCACAATTTCCACTGCGGAATCGGCAAATTTAATTGAAGAGTAACGCACTCTTCATTATTAATTGAACTAAAAATTACAATTACGGGAACGTTAGCTGCAAACGTGTTAAAAAATTACACGAATCTTGGCAATACTCATATTTGATTTCAAGAACGGAAAATTTACCACGACGTAAGAAATAATTAACACCAAAATGTTTAATTTAAAAGCCTTAACGTGTTATTTGAACAAAGTTTCTAATTTACACGTTATATAAAATATTGGATTTCATGTCACAAATAATAGTACTTTATACACACAATTTCGTTCTTTATAGTAACAACAAAGTCAACCTACTAACAAAATAAAATTTTTAAAACTGCATGGTAAAGCAACTTACTATATAATATTTATATTTAAAAGCTGTGAAAACGTCTTTTTTTATATACTGTACCACTATATATCCTGAAGTTTTAAATAATCTAACTGCAAGATAAATAAATAATATCTATAATTTTATTAATCTTCATTTACATATTATCTATAGATAACACAGCCTTGTTACATACGTGTGGCGCACTATAAGTTTCCGGAATGAATAAGAAAAAATACTATAAATGGTCAGAAATAAATATATTGTTTCCGAAAATATTCTCCGTTAGCGTTAATGCACTTTTTCATACGAATGAACCAATTTTGAAAACATTTATGCCACTCCTCCGTGACAATCTCTGAAACATATTTTTCATACTCTTCGACATCTTCTTCAGGTGATAAATAATAATAAATAACGCACACACTCAACATAGCCCCGCACTAGGTAAACCTTGTGTCACAGGTGCAATGGACACACACATAGACAACCACAAATTACACCCAAACTCACGAGAGAAATAATTGTAGGCCATACAACTATTTCTTCCGGCCCGGGAATCGAACCTGGGACCTCTGCGTGGCAGTCCGGCCACGGAGGCAGTTGATGAAAATCGTTGACCGCGTAACTGGTTCGTAATTTTTGGAAATAAATAAAAATTACAAGGTCGGGACTGTACGCGGGATGGCTCATAAGGTCAACGTTGTTCATATTCAAAAATTCATTTGTCTGTCTGGCCGTGTGAGAACTGGCATTATCGTGGTGCAAGATGATACGGCGTTTACGGTTATTTTTACTGAATTTATCAATAAATTCCTGCAAACAAATGGTCGTGTACCAATCACTGTTCACGGTACAACGATTCTCCAAAGCAACAGTAGCCACGTGTTCAGTTTTATTTAAAAAAGAATCAATCATCCGTTTAGAGGCACTTTGCACGCGCGCCACTTTGGTTGGTTTCGGCTCATCTCGAAAGACCCATACGCTCGATTGCTGCTTTGTTTTGGGATCGTAACTATAAATCCATGTTTCGTCACCTGTTACTATGTCCCACACCAAATTTGACGCCCCTTCGTTGAATCTGGTGAGCATGGCATTGCACCAAGTGACGCGATCCGTTTTTTGAGCCTCAGTCAAATTGTGTGGGATCCACCGAGAGCACAGCTTTTTCATACCAAAAGGTTTGCGTAGTATTGATTGTATTTGACTCATGCCTATGCCTAAAGATGTCCGAATCTCATGGTATGTCACATGCCTGTCTGTTTTGATCATACGACGCACAGCATCGATGTTTTTGTTGTTCACAGCAGAGGACGAGCGACCATCACGAAATTCGTCACTGAGATTCACACGACCGCGTTTGAAGTCTGATAATCAGCTACAAATAGTCGTCTTGCATGGTGCTTCATAGCCAAAAGCAGTTTGAAGCCGAGCGAAGCTCCGCTGAGCTGTTAACTTACTCTTAAAGTCGTAGAAAATCATACTACGAAAATTTTCACGAGTTAAATCCATGGTGATGTAGACAACCAATTTCTAAAATGACGTCACAGTGTAAAAACAGGTGAGAGTCAGATGAAACAAACTGTATTCTACAGCCAAAGAGTTCCATTTTCAAATATTGTAATTACTTTTTAAATATTGTTTATGTAAGTGGCCAGTTCCGGAAACTTATAGTGCGCCCTATGTACTAGGCAGATGAGAATGTAAGAAGTGTCAGCTTAAAGACTTTTCATTTAAAGACAATTTTCCTGCCCGAAAGTTGTAAAAACCTATTGTAATGACCATTATAAAAGAAAAACCTTTTTCTGTTTATCAAATGACTACAAAATCGAATATTCCGAAACACATTCTCCATGCATTCTGTTGCCTAATGTGAAGGAATTTTTAAACATCACATTTATCATCGAACGTTGCTTTGGTTCGAGTATATAAATATTCTGAAATATTTGTTACATTGAAGTAAATGAAATGAAATGAGATAAGAAATACAAATGGGGTTCCGAAAAGCGAATTGTGCCCCGGAGACGAAAATCGCAGTCGTTAGGCGTGAGATAGGGTAAGCGAAGGAAAGGCAGTGGAGCTACCGCGCCAAACCGGGGTAATAGAAATTCAATGAGCCAGAGCTTACGTAAGGCGGGCGGCGGGCGTCCACATACAGTTACAAGAAAACTCCATCAATTTATTTTTTTTACTTTCAGAATTACACATATTGCGTATAAGAATTTGTTCTATTAACGTAAATGTATTTATGGAAATAAATATCTTTAGAGCATTCTGTGTTAAGCATTTATAATCTAAAAGTAAACTGTATGCCCTTTTGTTACGTACAGATAATTGCTGTATGCTCATAATCTCTTTTGTGGATGTTAGTAAGCTCTCTAAATCTCTATATTTTATTATTCACCAAGACGATAAAAAAGACATGTTTTATTAATTGTCTAAAATAAAGCTTGCACCAAATGTATATTCAAAAAAGACAGAAATTGACAAATGTCCATAGGAAATGGCAACGTTTTCCGCTGATGCTCCACTTTGATAATGTTTTTCGATTTTGTTGGTCTATCGTACTTCCACTACAAATATTTAGAAAACATTTACACGATTAATAATACTGAACCTTAAATAGAAGAATGTAAATATACTTAATGTACTGAGAATGTTAATGTCCAGGAATCCCAAATTTTAGAACCAAATTAGATAAATTAGTTACACTTTTTTATGTTACATAAATACACCTTAGCCAATAATATTACGTATCTATTTTAAATAACTTTGCTGACATAACTCTTCAAAGTAAGTTAAATTAAGGTTTAGATGCAACTTTGTAACTGCACGCGAAATTCAAATCCATTATCATTTTAATAAACACAGTACACACATAACCTCGTAAAAAGTGTAAATAGTATTTGCTACAGCAACATTAAGTACGATTTAGTTGAAATCTTTTATATGAAAAACGTATTCAAGAAAGCAATTTTTATGTAAGTAGGTACGATTAAAGGACACGTATTTACATTTTAGCTTGTCTTTTAATTTCATTGATGAAGATCCAGAATCAACCAACCGATAAACATTATTAGTTTTTTATTTCATGATATTATATGACGGGACGAACAAGTCGTACCTCTGGTGACAAGCGACACGCTTATTCATAACAGTCGCAGTGCCACTCACACGTTTAAATAACAAAGATCAGTGGGGCACTGCCACTGTGCCCGTCACCACGAAACATAAGTTGACAAGTCCCATGCTCTTGTGATTTCACCAGCACCCTTCAAAACCGGATCGCAGTAATGCTCACTTTACTGCTTGACGCCGAAATAGATAAGATGGCAGTATTTTCCTGGGTGAATCCTATCACAAGGAGCTCTACTGCTATTAAAAATTATCAAGAATTTAGTTTTCGCATGTACTATCTTACCAATTAGTAAATACAAATATATAGAAATCGTCAGTCCCTAAATTCACGTGTTACAAATGTGTAAATTATTACACTTTATTTAAAAAAGTACGATTTTTACGTGAATTGGTAAACATATGTAAACTGCATATCTTGGCCAGGTCTTGGATGGTCGTGTGGCGCGATTATGATCAATATTTACGCAGATGTTAGTCGCACGTTACGTAACTACCAAGGACGTCGATGTGCCGGCTGGAGACAACCCCAAGGCGTGTGCTGCGGATGCGGCAAATATCACACTGCATACACCCTTGCGCTAACCTCATTTAAAAGTACAATATGGGTTCATTATATGTGGTTTCGGAAAATAGGATAAATCAAAAGATTGTAGGGCATTGAGCACTGAATTAAAAAACGAGAAACTCGACATAGTTGGGCACGTAAAAACTTAGATACATCGCTAATTAAACTACACTGTAAATATGTAAAGTAACAAATTAATGATAAATGAAATCGTTATTTAATCTGAGATACGTATAAAAGTTTTCAAGTCATCCGACCATCGCAAAGGATAAACGCCGGAAAAAATCAAAGCCACGAGGGATCGATTTGTGTAATACAATTAAACTTGAACCCCCGGCGTCGTCATAACGCGACAGGGCTCTACGAAGGGTGATATCCAGTCAGCAAGGTAGTACACGCACACCCGTGTTCCTAGAAAACCTACAAGAAAACTTGCTAAAATCATGCAAAAAGAAAATCGTGAAAACTCAAGAATTAACTCAATCAGTCGTTGAGTGGGCCACAACGGTGGACGAATCTATTGATGGAGTGGACATAAAGTTCTGAAGTAGACTTTGTGATACTTACCGGCTGCAATTGTCAGCCACCACCAGCAGCAGCAGGCGGCCACGAGCGGCCGAGCGCCGGCCATGTCAGCGGCAGCGCATCACACGCGCGCTCTCGCCGGCCGCCCCGGCGGACTGGCGGGTATGGGTAACGGGTCGGTGGAGTGGCACGGCGGCGGCCGCGGCTGTGGCCGGCAGCGCGCGCGATCGATGCGCGCCACACGCACCCCCGAGTCGAGGCGCCGCCCCCGCTGCCCGCCGTGCTGCCCCGCACCCGCTTCCTGGCTTTCCAACGAGAGCGCGCGCGCTGCCCTCTTTTCCGGCGGATCGCTGACCGCCCCTAATTGATTGGACCCGTTCATTTACCGAACACGTTTTAGGTCAACTCCGCCGCAGAGCCTCTGCGCAATGTTTGGTAAGTTGTCCTAGACAGACAACTCAACATCCTGTTCAGATCAACGCTAACAGTTTAGTTTATTTAGTTTTAATACAGGACTGAATTCGGTAGACCGGAAGAACTCTACAGAACCCTTTAATATTTTTTTTATAATTTTAAATCAAGTAAAGTATCGAAACATGAACGTTTTCATATTATCTTGTTGTGCTTTATGTTACGATGTAGGGTCTAATTTCAAGAAAACATTCAAAAAATGGACATTGAACATTATGTAGAGTTTGTCATACAAATCAAATTGAAAATATACGCACAATATGATCTTTTACAGTGATAGATTTGATCAACTGTGTAAAAAGAAACGTCTCCTTATGTCGAAATGTCATCTCATCATACATAGGTTCTTTTTCGGGTTATTTTAATTTGGTATATTTAAAAAATGTAATTAATACAATTTATTTTTACTCACTGGTCCGCTACTTAAATAAAACATCCAACTTACTTATGAAACCGGAAAATTTTTACAATAACCTAATTGAAAAATGCGATTTAATAGAATAACTAAGAATAAATTATTGGTTCAAGTTAAACCCTTTAATTATTCCTAGCAACCTAGGTTTATTCCTGCACCTTAAAAAAAACCTTAAGTTGACATGTGGTTGACAGTCGCTGAAAGTAATGACTTGGCAGTATGGTCTCTGACCTTCGCCTGTTCCATGCGGAACGAAGGTTATAAAAATCTGGTTGACATTGACATATTGTAGAAAATAATTTTGTTTACTATTAGTAAAAATTGAAATTGAACTAAAAAACATGGACTCACCAGTGTAACAACATAAGTGAATTTTATTGGTGTAATAATTGTACTGTTTTGGTTTACGTATAAATTTTTGTTAGGTATTAGAAGATAAGTCAAAATTGTAATAATGAAGTTCACTCGAGGCTATTACGACACATTCGTGAAAACCTGCGGGAAATATCCTTCAAATAACGCCGTAAGAGTTTACAGCAACGATGAATACAAATGTTACACTTATTCTGAAATGTATGGCGTGTGCGAGTACATTGCACAGAGTCTACAACAATTCCAATGCAGCAAAAGTATTATTGGATTGGTTTCAAAGACTAATATGATAGTACCATGTGTTATTGCTGCGTAAGTATCTTTATCTAATAATCTCTAGAGGGCTCTATCTGTTATACACCTAGCAAGTCTGAAACCCCAAACAACATACATTATTTATTGTTTAAGTTACTGGAAGAAGTGGAATGTCTTTTGGTGTGTAAATACTCCTTCTATTTCCAGGGCCCACAAATGCTGTGATAGTTTCATGTTCCTAGATCCATCACAAGATATTGACAACATTGCACGAGACATGAAATTCTCTTTGATTATTTCCATTTTCAAAGATGAAATTAATTCTGTATCCAATGTGCTTTGTAGAGTGCCTGACAAAGTCATAACAGTATTTGGCTTCTGTATTAGCTTCTATAACTACACCTCACCAACAGAGCAACTGTATAAGCAAATAGGTTACTCCTTTGTAGCCATGACTTCAGGCAGCACGGGGGACCCAAAAAAAATACAAGTGCCAATAAACAGCATACAACCCAATATTGATGATCTCACCAAAATGTTCCAAATATTACCTCACGATGTTATTTACTTTTCTACACCACTAACATTTGATCCGTCAATGATTGAAATACTGCTGGCATGCATGAATGGGGCCTCACTGCTTATTGCCCCTGAGATTGTTGATGTTTTAATTCCTCACCATAGGAAACACAAGGAGCATGCAATTACAATATGGCAAACAACACCTTCAAAATTTTTACAACTTCCAAATTCTAGCATCAAAAAACTACTGAAATCAAAATCTCCACTCAAAATTTTAGCACTTGGTGGAGAACCACTGAATGGTTTGAACAGATTAAAGCAGTTGAAAGACAAAGAGAATAAAACTAGGATATTTACTTTATATGGAGTAACAGAAATGTCCTGTTGGGCATGTGCAGCAGAGCTGGACCTTGATAAGGTCATGACAGATAGAGAAGTGCCTCTTGGAAATTGTCTTTCAGAGACACAAGTTGTATTAAAACCTAGTAATGACAGCAGCAACAGCACAACTAGGAAAATCATATTGGGCAAGTATATGAATACATTATATAGGTAGAATTACTTTTCTTGTAGAAAGTGATATAATGATCATTAATAACAAATGTTACCATTTCAGCTAGTAAAACTAGAAATTGTGTTATTCTAAACCAAAAATCATTTGGTGATGAAAAAAACTCATTGAAGTTTGTGGATACTGGAGATGTTGGTGAAATACAAAATGGCACAATATATTATAGAGGGCGCACTGATGACATTATTAAGAGATTTGGATACAAAATCAACTTGCAATTTATTGAGAGCATTGCTATGCACTGTCCAAGAATCAAAGCCTGCTCCTGTATTTGGATGCCAAAGCCTAGACTACTAGTTGTTTATTTCTCTTCAGAAACTTTCAGCAGCCAGAATTTATCAGACTTTTTGAAATGTAAGCTTGATGATAGACACTGGCCTGACAAAATTATCAGAGTTAATAACCTGCCCACTAATGCACATGGAAAGATAACAAGGGCTCTTGTCACAAAATCATTCGATAGATTAGATTGCCCTGTAACATTCAACAGCTTAAAAGCTACATTTTTAATGGAACTTAGAGACCACCTTTCTCAAAGATTTACATATGATGACATAAAAGACAAAGATTTCTTCTCGCTTGGTGGCACCTCTTTCCTGGCTGTTAGTCTTTGTAATAAGCTGTCGCAGATCAATGCTTGTTTTGGCAGATGTCTGTTACCACATTTAATGACTCCTATGAAATCCATTAGTCTAGTTATGGAAGAGATTAGAAAAGACATTAACAAGAATACAGCAAAACATAAAGTACTTAATAGAGATATGAAAACACTAAAGAGGGTAGCATCAGAGTCAGTAAGTAGCGGTGTGGACCGCACATCCCATAAAAAAAATTCAGCTACAGTCATATCTCCACAGATAGTTATTTTATGGACATATAACACTAATAAATGTGTTGACGCGTCGCCGACTCTACTACAAACAGATCAGTAAGTTGCCTGTAAAACCTATTTTGTTTCATCGAAAATGAAATTGTAACAAAAAAAACACGAAATGGGCGTACCATACTCGACATGAAGCACACAATTAGATTATTGTACTATAGTACTGCTTATTGGTTTTTACAGTGACCTGAATGCTGATGAAAATGGAAATACAATTTTCCTATCTGGTTCTTTTTTATGGCAATACCAGTGTCAGCCTAACTGAATCCATGCACAAGCTTGTTTTTTTCAGTTACGAAATTTAATATACTTAATTGTTTTTTCCAGTAATTTATACGTATGCGTGGGTAGTCATTCAGGGAGAATTGTGGCGATCGACGTCTTGAGTGGTGTCGTGCAATGCATGATACGGCTGAAAGCGCGAGTGGAGGCAGCTATTTTCTGCTACAACCAAGATCCCACGCGAACACCATGTGGGATTGTTGGCGCGTACGACGGCACTGTCATGTGCTTTGTCATTGAAACCGGCGAAGAGAAGTGGCAAGTTAATATTGGAAGTATGATAAAGAGCAAAGCAACAGTTTGCGATGACTTTGTATATGTGGCATCATATGACGGAATTATTCGGAAACTTGATTTTATGGTATACCCTTTTTAATGTACTTGTTACTTAGCTGAAATGTTTTTTTTTTATTTGTAGATTTTAGCTACTTGGCTTTATGTCATTCAGTTATGGGCCACTGCCTCAAAATCCAAAAATAATAATAATGAAAATAAAATAAAATGCTGTATCGCGGGTGACATGTACACACACATAGACAACCACAAATTACACCCAAACTCACGAGAGAAATAAATGTAGGCCATAAAAATATTTGTCCCGCGGCCCGGGAACGAATCCGGGATCTCTGCGTGGCAGACCAGCACAGAGGCAGTTATCATCAGAGTCCATACATATCTAACGCCTTCAAAGAGTCGAAAACAACATCCTTGAAACTATCGTAGTGTTGCCACATCATACACCACAAACACTGAAATCCTGGAGATTCCAACGATTGTCGAAGAATCGCAGTGTTCGCCTCAATACTCATCCGAATCCTCTCGCGAAAGCACTGGTTGATGATATATTATACATCAGGAGACTTAAACAAATGCACGTGTTTGATGACTAAGAGAGACTGAAGCAGTAGCTACGTCGCCCTTAAACGCGAAAATTGCTCACAAAATTTACTTATAGCATGGCCAATGATTGTAGATATTTAAAAAAATGTAGTTTCGTGTAAATGTAGTTGATATAATGAAAATAATATAACTAAGATTAAGAACAATAATTTTTTTAGTAACTACGCCTCAGCACTTGTAGATGTTTTTCTTAAAAGAGTACGGTAATTAGCGATACTTTTCTTTATAGACAGGAGCAGTGAAGTATGGATTTGTAATATCGGAACAACCCATTTCTGCCGATTTGGTGCTAGCTAAAAACAAATACGTTCTAACGGGGACGTTGTCAGGCACGTGTGCGAGCATCAATACGGCATCTAACATGGTCGCGTGGCGCACCACGCTCAGCAGCCCTGTTTTTGCCAGCCCCGCCCTATACGACAATGATAAATATGTCGTTTTTGCCGAGGTCAACGGAGAAATACACTGTAGAACTGTAGAAAAAGGGATAAAGGTATGTACACCATACATACCTGGCGAAGGTTTCGGAAATCCGCTGGATGCGAGCAGCATGTAGCTCGACCGTTGTGGCGTTCTTTGGAGGAGGTCTACGTTCAGCAGTGACGTATGTTGGCTGACATTATGTTGACCATCCCCGCTAGCGTTACCGCGTAGAGTTATCACCGTTTAGGGCCATCTATTTCTAAATACTGTAATTTTTGTATGAATGAAAGCAACATTCTGATGAATTATTAAAAGTCAGAGAACAAAAATTTTTGTTTATGTTGTCCTGGTAAAATAGTCCTGCGAGGGTTATAAGCATATTGCTGTGGTATAAGTCATATGTTCGCAGAAAATCGTTTAATTAATTCGGTATTTAAGAGTGCTGCTGCACTAGTGAACCAGCCTTTACGTAAATTTCTGACGTTATACATATAATACATATTTCAAGTACCTAATTTTATCCCGCGAAAGCAGTTTGCGCCATCGTATGGTGACAGTTGCAAGTCAAAACGTTTGTTTGCTATAAACTTTTTCATTATTCACAGATTTGGAGTTATTTGGGAGCAAAGGGTAATGTGTTCTCTTCATTCTACATCACAGAAGTGGAAAAAATGAAATGGCAAATGGTGTTCGGATGTCACGATAACAATGTGTACAGTATACGTGTAAAGAATTGTCTACCTGTATTACAGTGGAAGACAGAACTAAGTTCGGCAATTTATTCTACGCCCTGTGGTCTCAACGACAGTCTGCTAATAGCTGCTTCAAACAATGGACGGTTATGTATTATCACAGCTGAAAACGGCACGGTTTTGTTAGAATTCCACTTGCCAAGTGAAACTTTCTCATCACCAGCTACTTATAAAGATTACATTTTTATTGGATGTCGAAATGATTTCTTGTATTCACTTCTATGTGTTACATCATGATAATTTAATAAAATTGGAAACTTGTAAATACACTTGTGAAATGTAATATCCAATATGTGAGTAATATAGAATATCTAGTTACCAGAATTAATGCAAATAATTTGTTTCATATTATACCACATCTTTTACTTAAAATTTTAATTAAATTTTATTGGTTAGCTTTATTTTAAAAAAAAGTACATTTTTAGACAAGTCTTCTTCACATGGTAAAAAATAAAAATCTCTTTTTCAGTATAACTTTATTTATGATCTTACACAACATACAGGTATAATGAGCATTCATAATTTCGACATTACAAGTATGATATGGTTACAGGGTCAAAGTATGTACCGAAAATGGAATGCATATTTTATGATGCAATACCACTTGTGCAGATCACTGTTGTATACTTAAAAATAAGAATAAAAGCAATCTTATATAAGGAATACATCCCCTAGAACAACAATATTACATATTGTGTATTTTTGGTAAATAAAAAAATAATTCCTTATTGAATTCACAGAGGGGGCACATTGCACAAATACATTGTCTACTGCATTACATCTAAGCTCTCATATAAATCTTTACCCAATACACCTTAATGAAAATTATTGTTTGCCAGATTATTTTATGAACAAATATTAAAATTAACAAGCAATATACATATAAATAATAAGGTGTGTTCACTGTTCTTCCTCTCCTAACTCAACCTTCACTTTGGAGAAGTCAAAGTCTTCATTAGTACCACGCTTGTAAATCTTAAGAACATCTAAGCAAGTAGTCTCAAAATGAGAGGTAGCATCGTAAGACTCGGAAATGAAAATTTTGCTCTGACTGCCATCATCTGTAGGCTCATAGTAGTCGGATACACTCACAAACTTCTGTCGGATAGAGCCCAGGAGGTCCAAGCCAGGTTTGATCTCAGTCTCAGGGTCATTTGTTTCAACTGTGGTAGACACCATTGCAATGAACCATCCTTTAGCAGCAACCTGGTGTGTGTAAGACACCAGAGATACATAGATATCAGAATTCCTGCCAACCTGTTTCTGGGGAATAATAATTTGAGTGGAAAGAGCATCCTTAGTGTTTGCAATAGGATGGTCTAATAGGCAAATGCAGCGAATAACCTGTGCCTTCTTACGAACTCTATCAGGAACATAGCTGGGGTCACAGTACACCTGCTTACATTTAGCAATCTCCTGACCGGAGCGTACACCCACTACTTTGCCACCTTCGCCAAGCACAATCTCATCAATAGGCTTGTCCAACATGTACGTTCCTCCATAGATAGCCGAGAGACGAGCAAAACCCTGAGGCAGCTCACCTAAACCATACATGGGGTATAAGTACGGCGATTTTCCATATCGTGCCAGAGAGTCCGAGTATAACTTGATGCGGCGGATGGTTTCGATAGCAGGCTGCTGGAGGTAATTATCATTGAGGTAGAGGGCCAAAGCATGACCTGTAAAGTCTTGGGTATTCTTATCCAGCCCAAATTTGTCGTACAAAGACTGCATGTTGGCAGTGCTCGGATCAAAATCTTTCCAGGTTTTGGTGTCGTCTTCCTGGAAATCCTGGACGTACACCAAGAAATTACGGAAACGCCTCTTTTCAAACATGCCCATGAGGTCGGAAGCGAGTGCTTCTTTCTGATCGACCGGTACCTTTGAGATCTTACCACCCTTGTAGACATAGCTGCCTTCTACGGATTTGAATTCCAGATAACGGGTAACGCCCGTATGGATGAGCAGCTTCACCAGAAGGCCGTTCGCCATCAAAAATTTGGGGATCAAATCCACATTCCAGTCACGACCTCGACCGTAGGTTTCGTCCGGCGCCGGTGCGTTGAACTTTGCGAACAATTCCTCTAACGGGGTAATTGACGCAGATTCACCACCATAGTACTTGTTCCGATCAATGTGTAATACCTTCTTGCCGGAGACGGAGAGCATCCCACTGATGATGCACTCCTTGAGACCAGTGCCCAGGACAATCGCATCGTATTCTTCGTCCATGATGATATAAAGGTTATTATGAACACGAATACAATTAGGAAATCTGCTACCGGGAGATAAATGTCAAAATGTCGGAACAAAAATGTCCGCCAGCGATGACGTCGCCGATTTACTTAGTACCAACGTAAAGAAAAGACAAGCATCCCTGACTGTGGATTACATTTTGACATAGGTCGTAAAGATATCAAATAATAAAGCTAGAAATAAATAAAAATAAAGCTAAATTTAATATAAAATGAAAAATTACCTTTTTCTATAGTTAAATTCGTAATTATAATTTTAAAATAAAAATATGATAATCCAATCTTGTTAAAATAAGCTGTATGTTATACAATATGATTTATTTTTAAAGCGCATATTGACATGAACAGTTACATATTAAGGGTTTTGTCATACGTGGTGATGTTGCCTAAACTGCGTGTTCGTTAGTGGTGTGCGTTAAAATCGAGTAACATTATTATACTTTTTAATGATATAAGGATACGATAATTTCATGAAACTGTTTTCTCGGAATTTATAGTTTCCCCTTAAGGAATAACGAAAAAGCCTACTAATACTACTGTGACTCTTTGTGGCATGCTTTGAATTAGGCTTTTCGGTGCGTTAATAAGTACGGTAGTCTGTCATATTATTATTTTAGCAGAAACACAGGTTGCAAACTGTAATTAAAAAAAAAATAGTATTCGTCACAGTATTCTCGTGGTATATTTATATATAACCTTTGTTTGTGCGTACAATAATATAAACTAATTTACAAGAATGGCTAAGTTAAGTGAGCATGATATTGTATGACGACTGATTAAGTGCAGTTATAGTGTCACTTTAGTAATTTCTTGATTTACAATTTAATAATTTCTTGGTACTTTTTAACAATAATATTTAGTTCCATATGTAAGTTATGTGAAAATAATATTTTAGATCGGATATTAGATTATTAAGCAAATTGTTGGTACATAATGAGAAAAACGTATTGTAAGTTAACAATGATAGCGTAAATGTTTTACATATATCTCGATTAACTTAATATTGGTTTTGTGACTTGTCCATTATTGGAAATGAAGCTATTTTTCCGAATTTAAATCGCGTAAATTTGTATTTTCAAACAAACCAAGGTTTCGGGCCCTTTACAGGTCCCATGGTCACGGTTGACTCAACCGTTAAATAGTTTCATCTCCTATGTGTAACAATCGCGAAAACCTAAGAACTCGATATTGTCCATTAATATTAAAATGTCAAAAAATATCGTTAATACGACAATTTATTATAGTATATAGATGAATTATATTGGTGGTGTTCAATTGACACTAGATCATCATTATCCACTTTGTGTATTTTTGTGAAGTTTTACAAAATGTGTCACTGAAATAGTATTAGTTACACTATGCACATCACTAAAAGGATTGCTTCCCCCGTCGCGCACCTTACTTCCCCCAATTAGTTGTCAATTTTGTAATCTGTCAGTGTCAGCCGGTTAGCAGCGTCGCTGGAGCTTTTGCTTGTTTTCGAGTTAATTTAGTTCTCGTGCACGAAAACAATTATTTGCTTCGTGGCGATCAGTTTTATTACAAATCTTTGTAATATAATAATGTGTATCTCTACATTCCAAATCAATTATTCGCATTTATTGTATGTTTTATCCTGGGAGTGAATTATGGTGATGTGTGAAATAGTGAACAGGTGATTTCAAACCATCCATATGTTTCTGTTTTTACGGCATGCTCTTATATCGAAAGGTGTAAATTACACTGTAGAGCGGAATACACATTCTCCCTTTTAAATGAGAGGTAAACGAGGACCATTCACTGTGCAGATGATCAAAAATGTCAACAGAAGGAAGTGGAGAAACTCCTTCGACCGTGCCAAGCTTGCCCGGTGCGCCGGAGCAGACGTACTTGTTTCCGAAGGCGAAGGGGCACTCGAGGTCTATCAGCCATGGCGGGATGCCAATGCTTGCTGGGAACCCTCCAGCGGCAGCGCGGCCGCTCAAGTCGGCGCTGCGCGGGCACCAGCGCGCGCTATCGCATGGCCAGATCGGCGAGGGCGGGAGGCCAGCGTCCGGCAGCGGCCACAGCCGCACCGGTAGCCGCACCGACTTCATCCTGCCGCCGGAGCACCGCGAGCCGTCGGCGGTGCCCATGCGGGGTCCATCGGTGCGTGTCCACCAGCACAGCAGACAGGCCTCACGCTCGGACTCCATATACACGTTGCGTCGCAACTCCGTCATCAGTCCATGGCGCCGCACCCTGCTGCGTCTCATGCGCCGTCAGCCAATCACCGTCGACAACAGGCACTACAGTGTTATCCCCAACCACTTAGTGCCCGAGAAGACCCCCCCTAAAGACCATCCGAATGGGAACAGATGTGGCAACAAAGTGAGGACTACTAAGTACACTTTCCTATCATTCTTCCCTAAGAACCTGTTTGAACAGTTCCATAGGATTGCCAATGTGTACTTCATTTTCATAGTGCTTTTGAACTTTGTACCGCAATTGAGTGCATTTGGCAAGGAGGTAGCCATGGTGCCCGTGCTGTTTGTGCTCACTGTCACAGCAATCAAGGACCTGTTTGAAGATCGCCGGAGACATCTCTCAGACAAACGAATCAACAATTCATTTTGCAGAATTTATCAAGTGTAAGTAAATGCTTATTAATTTTTAACCGTCTTTAAAGAAAGCAGGAGGTTCTCAATTCCCCTGATTTTTTTTTATGCATGTTGAGCGGTAACTCTGCTTTGTGAACTGTTTTGATAACTCTTTTTGTTGGACAAAGTGTTGGTCCCATTTAAATTTGAAGAAAATATTCCACCTCTAAGGGTGACAAACTACGGGACGAATCCGATTTTGTGCACTTTCTGGTACCCGATTTCAATGAAAGTTGGCAAATTGGATGTAATTCCACGAACTTTTGAGGTCAGTTTTTTTAGTACTCTACTACTGAGAATATATTATTAATATCTACAACTTGTAATCCATAATCTTGAACTAATATTAATTATATTCAGTACTAAACTTTTTTATTCATTATGAATATCAAGAATAAATTCAAGGCAAAGAAGAAATGCCAAAAAATGCATTTTCATAATCATAATTCTAGGGTCGGCAGACTAAAGCACTCACAAGTCTAATTCATTTGTTACTTCATAAATTTTGAACTTTATTCTAGAAGTTATTTAACTTCCAACACTAAAAACAACACAAAAGAATATATAATTATATATTAACAAATGAAGCACTTTTTTTACTTATGTGCTTTAGTCTGCTGACCCTAGAATTATTTATTGATTTTTTGCAAGTTTATAAGTGAATTTTTCCTAATATTTACCCAATGCTTACTTCATTGCTGACTGAGTGTTTGCTCAACGAAGTAAACATTTTGAGTTGTGTTAAAATTTTGTAATTGCTCTTGACACCGTCATTTGGTTCATCAAAATTAAATAGCTTAAAAATTTAAGTACCTAATATATTCTGTAGCAATAGTGAAAAGGGGTACAAGTCAAAAAGCCAACTTTACAAGGAGACTCGAAAAACACTTAAAGCTTAATATTGAGTTAAGTGTTTTTCATGTTTCCTTGTGAAGTTGGCTGTTTTGACTTGTACCCCTCTTCACGAGAGCCACAGAATTACTCATATGTTTTCTTACAATAAAACTTATTTTCCGCTTGCTTTACCTATTATTAAACATTTTCTCATGAAGTTATCCATTAAACATGTTCTCACTGCAGTACAATGTTGAATTAAAAAATAAAAGAGTGATATTTACTGTTAATTTAATACATCTAAGATAACTTCAAGAACTGTAAAAAAGTGCAAAGTCGAGTGGTTATTTATGCCAACTGGCATTTATAAGTTGTGTTCAATATCTGGAACACCATCCTGTTCTTTATTTACGCTGAACAATAGATAACGTAATGCTGTCGTCCATTACGAGGCTATGGGGCCAGTGAGAGCATTTTGTTTACAAGTATCGGCAAATCGAGATTTTGTTTACTCATCTTATTTTTCGGGTATACGGAAGTATAGGTCGTAAAATACAGAATGTTAAGACTACTTTAAGTTAGTGTTTCGGAAAGCTTGAAAGATCTTTAATTGAAGGTGACGAAAAATTTGCTTAATTGGTACTATTTCATACCACTCTCTCCTAAATTCACTTTTAAAACACTTGGGTTATAATATTACACACCACAATCCCACGCAGTTGGACAAGCACTCCAAATCATCCTATGTTCGATACGTAAAATACTTTCGTAGAACACCAATCGTTCATATGAAAACAAAAAAATATCGTCTCATTTTGTTTAAAACATAAAATTTATTAAAAACATTAGGAAACCATAACAGTCACGTGCGTATTTCCGCACGTGCGTATACGCTAATGTTGCAACCGGATACTCTCTGTGTGATAGTAGAAACACGTTAGAATAATATCGCGTGGGTAACTTTTCTATCAATAACTAGGCCAAATCTGTAAAATTACACATAATCCGTCATTAAGAACTCGTGTTTTCTTTACAATGTAGATATTGTATTAGGAAAACACAACAACAAAGTGGTACTCTGCCCTTTGCTAAACGTAAATATGACTTAAAACTAATTATATCCTAAATCATTGTTACTCTACCAAAATCCACTGATTGACGAGGTAACGACGTCTGACGATTACGTCCTGACATTGATTATCTCAAAGTTTACGTTATCAAAGAACAGAAGTTTTTATTACAGAAACTTTTATTACAATTTAAAATACAATGTCACAGGCATAATTTTGCGATCGTCACCAATATAAACAAAAAAAGTTTAACAAGAAATACAATAATCTCCAACAAACAACATTTTCTTTTTTCGAAATTTTTTATCTATACGTACTTTAGAATTCTTACTTTAATAAAAGGAGTTTCGGTCCGTTATAATAAAACATTTAATTTTCATCCTTCGTAACACTTCAGATTTACGGATAGATGTTTCGGGGGACCGTTTACTTTGCTGTACGGTGTTTGACGGATTTAGGTTTTCCTGGGTTTTGCAATGCCAGGCCCTCACTCGTACACCACTCGAAAGTCTTAAAATTTTTGGCGAGCGTAAAGATAACTTAGTAAATATTATGAATATGTTATCTTTCAAATATTAGTCATCTTTCCTTTTTTATAAACGTCTGCAGGTGCGAAACAAATGACTAATATCAAAAAGTCCGGGGTCATAACTTGAAAACCAGTGACTGAGTTTCGAGAACGTATATATATTTCACTATAAAATGTAGACTGGCTTTCAAGCTTTATTTTTTTATCTAGAACACAATAGGCTCAAGCCTCGAGTACAATTAGTCGCCTACAAAATGTAGCATAATATAATATGTATAAATTTTCCACTTGGCTCATATATTAGGGTTGTTAAGTGCATTTTATACACATGCCGTTATGTAACAAAGTTAACATAATACTTTACCGCATCTCTTTCTGGATCTTGTGCGATTGCAAACGTTTGAACATTGCATATATTTTTTTCTTTTTGGTTTGTCCATCAAGTAGCTATCACAGTGTGATGTAAAACATACTTTTAATGGATAAGTGTGTGCTTTGTTGTAGTATTAAGCTGACAGCCTCGTAGCCAATGCTCAATAAATAAATAAAAAATGGATGAGTGTGAAAGAAGATGAAAAAATACTAAATGTGCGTGTGTGAAACAGCTATCGTAACTGCAAACGAAATATTGTACCTACCGTACTTTCCTACTGTTTCTTTTTTCTTTTTATCCTCAAGATCAACGACGTCAGACCAAAGTTGTTTACTACTTTCACTGCCTCCACCTGCCTCTTCCCATTTGCATAACGCCTCTCGATGAACATCATACACGACCATTATTAAACATCGTATGAATGAAACCACTTTCATAAATGTCCAATAAATATACCCATATTTATTTGACATTTAGTCGTATAATGAAATAAATATTAGGATCGCAAGAAAAATTATTTCAGGTTATTTATAATTAAATGTTGCTCTTAAATAGTCATTAAGCTATAACGTATTTTATTCGTATTTTTTTTCTAAAGGATTAATTATTATTCGAGTAATTATATTCAAGTTTGCATTTATATGCAGTTAGTATTCCTTAATAACGGACAGTGTTTTGCGATAAGTAGAGGCAAAACAATTGATGGATTTTCGTAAAACTATGTGTTATAATAGTTGCTGTTGCAATGGCATTCCCCCAAATAGATAGATACATTCCTTTGTATATGTCGAAATACATAATGTAGTACAACTACATATGGCATATTTGACTGTACTTTACATTACTCGTCGTTTGTCCTTACACAAACTCAAACAAAACAGTGTACGTTCGTTTCGTACGTTTTCTTTGTTTTATATAATTATCACATGTGTGCTTTCATGTGTTGTAAATTCATAATCATTGCCCCCTAGGTACATTTCTTTCGAAATGCGTCATCCATAAATTTCTCTTTAACAATCCCCAGTCCAACTTTCTATGACATTTAACGTTGTTTTTTTAAGGTGCGTTTGATAGCACGTTAGTGCAAAATCAACGCGACATTGTTTTGCTGCATCATTGCACCGTTAACTGCTCAATAATGCATGCAGTAATGTCCATCAAACGCTCTTCGTGAGGCTAACAACTAGTATCATACTAACAGCAATTTCTTCTATAAGATTGGGCAATTTCGTGTAATGTGAATTTGTTCTCACTACTATGCCGTCCATAAATAAAATACCCCTATAATTTAGCAAACGCAGACTGACTTTCATGTGTTATATGCCGTTCATTCCGACCTTTCGGGAATTAATCGCATTATATTCACTGGCACGCATGGCATATTAACAAAGAATGAAGCTTGTGCGTACTGTTTACCTCCTGGGAATCACGAGTACAGCTATAACGGCGCTTATTTTCATAGCGGGACTTTTAAATTCAATAGCTGCCTTTCGATTGCGCATTTACGACTTCTGGGACATGCGTGGTTAATAAATAATCGCTTGACACAGTGATGTCATAATTGTCTCAAGACATTGATCTACATAGTACAGAATGCCGTATTTATTATTTAGAACGAATAGTTTTACGCCTTCCTCGTGTAAAAATTTATAGCCACGTAATAGGCAACAGGGTATATTGACCTAACCCGAACTTTCATATTTGATACCGTATTTGTGTGTTCTAGAAAACACCTAGATTTATTGCGTAAGCACAAAAATTGGATAGTAATATTTGAGTAGTGCAGGTGGTAGGACTTATTGTTGTTAGTTCCGTTGTCCTCGAACTTTGGACTTAAGCACTTTCTCGGTACTTCCGATTGATCGGCTTGATCGACAACCCTCAAGGTCAAACCACAATGCAATTATATTGTGGTTCTCTCCTATGAGGTTCGGAATTTGTCGAAATTATCACTACTCATACTAACAGCATTAGGCCTTTCTTAGAAACCACTTATTCAAGTGCCTCTATTCAATTTCGCGTACAATAATTTGTAATGAGCTGGCTAGAGTTGAACTTGTTTTTATTAGGGAGTCACCACACTTATCAACACGAAAACGCATTAAGCCAGCCAGAAAAAGCTTCATGGCCATGCACTAAGACTGACAAAGGCGTTGTGCATTTCGCGTTGGCGGGCCGAGCACAA